CAGAGCCACCATGAAATGACACGAATCCTGTCATAATCGAGGTATAATGAGGCGAGCTAAAAGCAAAGGCAATTGTCAAGAAAGACGCCGTCCCAAAAAGTAAAACCCACGAGGAGAAAAAAAATAAAATAAAATAAAAGGTAGAAAGAAAGGTTTAGGAAAAGGAAAAGGAAGAGGAAAAGTTTAGAGGCAGAATGGAAGTGGTAAAAAAGCAAGAGGAGGACACACACACACGGTGATGGAAGCACTAGCGTCTGGTACACTTCTTCTTCACAACGACGAGGAGGACTGGGATCGCGGCGCAAATGCGGGTGGGGTGGGGTTGCTTCCTTTCACCGCATGCCACAGATTCTCCACGTTCCCCGCCCTATCGCATGCTCCTCCGCAGCCGGCGACACGTAGAGTCAGTCCATCCGCGACAAGAGGGGAGAAGAGAGAAGCGGAGTCAGTCAAGGGGGGTATCTTCTTCGTCTTCTTCAAGGGGGAGGGAACCAGCGCCGTCGTTGAGATGGTGATGGTGTCTTCTTCTAATCTAATCATATTCTACTCTAATCTAGTCTTCTTCTGCGTCTTCTTCCGCTGTGTCCCCCCATCGGGGTGCGCAGCCGACGCTTCCCTTCCATTACAACAACAGTCGTCGTCGCCGTCGTAGTAGTAGTTGTGATTGATATCAATGGCCACTCCCCTCCACGCATGCATAGACGAATGAAGGCGTGGATGAATAGCTGGATGGATGTATATGAACCTCGGTCGCTTCTCCCCGTTTATTCATCTGTCTTAGAAAGTCTGGATTCTCTATCATTTTCGTTCTCTTTTTCTTTCTGTGTGTGTTTCTTTGTCTTTTTCTTAGTATCCCAGATTCCAGTGAGGCTCCCTCCCTTCCAGCTGAATCCGTTCCCCGGGGGGGGGGGGTCCTCTGCGAGTTCCCTCGTATGGCACTCGGAGTTCCATTCACGTGGGAACGCCTTCCCCTCATTCCTCGTTGCTTCCCAGCACGTACACATTCTCTCTCTTACACAAGAAGTAAAAATAAATTTATATATATTTGGTTTAAAGTAACTAAATTGATTGTAAAATCTTATTATGAATTTGATATATTTAAAGAACTTAAAACTATTAATGAATCCTGTATCTAACTTTTGATGACTTTTAAGAATAAACTTTAACATAATAAATTACAAGAAAAATCATTCAAAAATGAATATATATGTATATATAATTAAATATTAATATTATATAGTATTTATATATAATATGACATGTGATAAGTCCTTGGTTGAGATTATAGTTTTATTATTTTAAAATTTTACTTTTAAAATGATTTAGTCCATTTTATGATCTCTTCTTATATCACACTAACTCTAAATTAGAATTGAAGATTTTTGCTGACATAGGAGTTGGGAATGGTGAGGGTTGAATTGTATAGAAACCTATAATTCCTTCAAAATCATGTTGTTTGTTGACAGAACAGTTTAGGTAGAGTACAAGAATAATCTGGTCGTAACAATGGCTGAATGTTTTTAAACCACTAATTTACTTGTACTTAAGATTGAAAATTTGGCAAAATTTTGTAGCCATGATGGGTTATACATGTATATATATATATATATATATATATATAAAACAGAGAAATAAATAAGGAAAAAAAATTGAGATATATTTCATTCCAAATAACTTTGTTTGTGAAGATGAAGAAAAACTTGTTCCAGTGCACAGGATTGCTTTGATTGATGGTCTCTCTTTACTGCTCACTTCTGACCAATTGAGCTGCTGTGATTTAACAACAACCAGTTTGGTACTTATTTGCCAGTGCCACACTTCTGCCCAATCCAACAATCACCCACCCAATTAATTAACCAACTTCAACATGGAAACTTGGCTCTTGTGGAAGAATAGCTAAAACCTATTGCAGGAGGGGGATGAGAGAAACAAACACCCAGGCACCCCCCATAAAACTAAAATGAATGGGAATGTAAACTTGCATGATTTTGTGTCATACCAATGCACAACTTCCAAGTAGAAATGGGAAATGATGCATATATACATGGTAATATATCCCTTGTGGAAACCAAAAAAGAAGAAGAAAAAGAAAAAGAAAACACTCCTCAAAACCCAAAGAATGTACTTGTACTAAAGATTAGAAGTTTCTATGTCGCAATTTTTTTTAAAAAGGTGACATAAATAAATATATATATATATATATATATATATTATGCTTTGGGTGTATGGAATGGAGTTGGCTTCATCACCATCCCTGCTGAATTCTTACAATTGGGAACCACCCATTTCTAAACCATAGTCCTCACAACTAAACCCTAAACTGGGGCATTAGAGTATATAAAAAACACATTCCAATACAATCATCCATCATATCCATTCATTCCTTCCTTCATTCGTTGTTTCATATCATCCATCCATTCATATAGTGGAATAGCACATGTGGAATTCTCAGCAGCCTTTGACTGACCACTGTTACAATCAACCACAGAGAGAGATGCTCTGCTCTGCTCTACTGATCTTTAAGATTGTGAAGATCAGGCTGCCCACACACACAAACAAACAATGCAACCCAATAAATCGATTCATTTTATTTACTATTTTTTATGTTAATTTCAACTTGAGTCTTACCATCATCATCCATCCACCACGTGGGGTTAAGACAAATAGAACCTCCTCCTCCTCCTCCAGAAACCCTAAAATATATTGGGGAGTGGCCATTTGAAGCTCCACATGCTCCCTGCTTCAAAGCATAGTGCTTCTGTAGCAGCAACAATATACTATTCTAATACAAAGGCTGGCTTGGCCCATAGCGAGAGTAGGGAGTAGGCTCCTTTTTTCTAGGAAGTTGGTGGAAGCTCAAGAGCCACCACTTCATTAAGTCTTGTGCTTCCTTGTGCCAGTAGTGCTTTCTTCAGCATTTGCCCCCCTTAGAAGTGGCAGAGCTTCAACTATCCACTATGCTTTAAACAAATACTGCTATATTTATAAATAAATTGCCATAAAATTTTAATTGTCTTTAACGCCTTTCATTTTCTAGTCATGTTTAGAACGGGCTTTTGTTTGTTCATTCCACACAAGGGGGAAACATAGGGGTACGTGTATGGGTTCATCAAAAGGAGTCCAATTGGTTTATGGCTTGTACTAGCAACATTCCGTATACTTGTACAAAATACATACGAACACACACACACACAAAAAGAAAAACACTTTTTGAATATGCCAATGTGGCTTTGAATGCATATGTTGATAGATCTCTATAGGAAATTTGGGTTAAATGAGTGCATTTTTAGGTTGCATTGTTTAGGTGTTTATGTCGAGTTAGAACTTTATGAAAAAAAATATTTTATTTATTTATTTGTTGATTTTTTGCATGTATGAAAGTTGGGATCTATGGAGGGTAAAAAACGAGGTCACTAATTCCCATGGTGAATTAATTGGTGTCTATGGGGTATTAACTTGGTGAAAGTGATGGCAATGTCTTGTGTTCCTCCCTCGTCTACTATGACAGGTAAACTCATTCTCGAGTAAAAAAACAGGAAGAAAAAGAAATAATGAAAAAAGAATGGGAATATAAAAGAGAACAATATAAAGGGAGAGAGAGAAAGGAAGGAAGGAACGAAGGAAGGAAGAGAAAGAGAGACGGGCAGTGTTGGGGCAGCCATTTGAACTATATTTGTGTCGCTCTTCTACGTTCCCGAGTTCCCACGGTTCCCGCCAGGACCCACTCCACGTGATGAGCAGTCGCCACGAAGTTTCCAGTCAAGAGCATCTTCAAGAAAAACGTAAAAGTAAAAGGAAGCCTCTAGTCTGTCTGGATGTACCCTTCCGGGGGAGCAGGGGATGCAATAACTGGCTTCACATGGGTCTCCATGCTGGTGCTCTCTCAACCCCCCCCTCTTTTCAAGAAGCCTTCAAGATCCCCTTCAAGATTCCCTCTTCGGAGCGGGACTTGAGAGATGTGAGAGACTTGAGAGGGAGGCAACCAAGACTCCAAGCTATATTTTAAAGACTTGTTCGCTTCCCGTAGACTTTGGCAGTCTCAATTAAAATTATTAATATTATTATATGTTAATATAAGCATCACATTGTTCATATTGTGGGGAGGGGGGGATAAGGTGTAGAACCTTACTTTTCGTATAATCCATGTGTTGGAAAGTAATAAAAATGTTCCATTTTAAGTCTTATTCTTTTGAATACATGTATATAAACATATTGACTAGATAGAATTATAAATTGATAAATATTTTCTGAAGTTTTGAGACATTGTAAAAGAGTCACAAGCATAACTAACTATGTATAGTTGAGAGCATTATCATAATAATAATAATAATAATAATAATAAATGTTTTTTTCACAATGGAAATATATGTTATTTATTTTAATTGACTATTTTGAGAATTCTTTTGACATGATCAATTATTTATCTTTATGGAAAAATGTAGGATTATAATTGTAACAGTTCTCAGTGGTTAAAATCACAAGAAGAGTTTATACTATATTTTAAAGGTATATATATATATATATATATATATATATATATTCTTTTCCACAACCATTTACAAACGAGGAATTGCATATCAAAGGACATTTTTGGGTTTTTCTAGCTCTAGGATTCAGAACCACCAACTTGAAAACAGAATTTTTTTAAGCAGATTTTGTATTAACTATGACTTCTTACTTTCAAGGATGTCTATCTATCTTTGCTTAACAACACAAGTGACCACTCAGTCTTGGAAAATCCATGCAAGGACTTTATTACTTGTTTTCCAACTCTCAATTGAATTATTAGCATTGATCAATGTTAATTGAACTGCCCTTCATCCGCAGTACTTCGTTTCTTCAATAATTTTGCATCCAACCCGAAAATTCTGTAAGTTATTACTTCACTGCAGTGGGAGATGTGATTTTTCCATCCAGGAGACTGCCAAAAGGAATACAGACGAGACCAGGTCCATGTGCATCAAGGAAGGTGACCCATCAATAACGCATACGCGAGAATCTGGAGTCTACAGAAGGTTGCAACAGATTTTATACCGCATCAAAACATTTCATTCTGTTTGTTTACATCTTGTCCTGGTGGGTTGACACATAGGCCAACAAAAACCACACACCAGGACAACTCAATCTGGAAGGAGAGGAGGTCACCAATGGGGTTCCCCTGGATATCTCCCTCGCAGGTAATGGTGATCCAATAAAACCTCAAAAAGGTTGGGACCGTAACGATAAAGAATATACAGTGGCGAAGAAACACATGCGACAATAACCACTTATCTATTCGTGCACCAAAGCTATACCGTTTTAATGCATGTTGCTAACCAATCCTTGCCGTCACTGTTTGAGAAAGTGACTTGAGTTGAGTGTTCCATTTATCAATCGCTGTATATTTCCTCAGCCCCTTTGATCTGTTTCCACAAACCAAGATGCCCAGGTGCCTAGTCAGTATTGTTAAATGCTCTTCAGCAAGCATGGAGAAGGCGAATCTGGCAGCAAGACCGCGACAAACAGATGGCAAAGCATGATTACCTGTCACCAAGCTCCAGCAATTGGTTTACTTGATCAATATGACCATGCACTCTATTATCCAGGATGAGAGATACAAGAAGCTGCTCCACATCCTTTTCAGGTATGTTCAGCTCCTGCACGCCAAATAAAATCAATACGGGCAACTGAATTCAGAGATGAATTTTGTACCATAAATACTGCTCACTAAAAAGAATACATAGTTCCTTTTGCTGGCCTACTTTACAAGACATGAACTTCTCTAGGCAAATGCATAAAAATCCAAAGAATTCAAAATCGAACTCAAAGCAGTATGTGAGAGCCATTCTAGTAGCCAGTATTCACTACATGCATCAAGGAAATGGCCTGAAAGGTTCACCTTAGATATAAAGGGAATGCGAATTCGGGTATAAGGCTTGATGAGCTTCAGCAACACTTGTGTGCGGATTTTGCTAAGCAGATCTTCAATGTAATTCCTTATGAAGGGATCGTCCATTATTGTCTTTCTGTTGCTCTATATGAAAAAACGAGCATAAGCCAGAGATAGAATAAGTGTACTTTGAGGTACGCATGCGATCTCAAGAACATGTTTTTCACCACAGAACAAGTTCGACTGCAAAATTTTATCTCTGATGATTAAAAATTTCGCGTCGATATTATGATCAGTCCCCAAAACTTGCTGAAGTGGCAGTACCTTGAGAATTTTCTCAAATTCAAGGATTTCATTCCTTTGATAAGCAGCCACCAAATTTGTCATAGCCAGAATTTCTGGGTCATTCTTGTACCTGTAGCAAGACAGATACCGCATCAGAAACAGATGGCAAAATACAGTAACATGTCATCATATTTGTTGATCGTTATACCGATATTTGGTAAAGTGACAACAATGCATGCAACTGTTACAGTCGACCAAAGACATTACATTACTATAACTCAAAAGCATCAAACTATCAACCCTGTCATGAGGAAAAGCACTAATAATTTTGCAACATGTATCAACAGTGTGCCTAGTCTCCGATTCTAGACTTTTCTTCAAAAAAATTCCAGACTTTGAATCTGTATAGAAAGTTCGGGCAAGCAGAACAAAATAATAGCCAATAGAAATTACGCTTACCATACCATATGAACACATCAGCTTGTACAAATAAAACATTCAGTCTGCTGTTTACAGTACATTAACCAGTAAGCTTCAGAAACTTACGGTTTAGCCTCCTGAGCATCAAATGGGTTCACTTCAGACTCCATTAGCATGTTAGCAAGCACCAAGTACCTGCAACTCCATCAACAACCTTGATAAATACCAGGTCTCTTCACTCAGAAGTACATGCTTTTGCAAGTTGTTACGTAGCTGTGAAGTATTCGCAACCAATAAATATTAATACAAGAAATTTAAAATACTCTAAACTTACTTGAGACACTGGATCCTCCTGTGGGTACCAGCCTCATCGTAATTCTTGAATGCATCAAAAAAATCGGTAGCCGCAACTGCCCACTGTCGCTCAGCCATGTTCATTTTGCCTCCACATTCGTGGATAATCCCCATAATGCGCGGATGTGGAATTGCAGACTTGATGTTCAACGCTTTTAGATATAGTTGCTGCAAAGTTTATACCAGAGAGAATCAGCACAAACCCTAAAAAGTAAACATATTAACCACTTACCCACAACTATAAATTTTGACACCGAAAATGAAGGGTTGAGAGATCCTATGATAACACGGCTTAAACAGAATATAAATTGTTTCATCAAATCAAAACAAGGTAGACTGCACGTGGGAATCTGGTTGAAAAAACCTTGAGCTTCTTGTTGTTCTTGGTCTCTGTATACATCTGAATCTCTATCGCATAAACCTCGAGCAATTGTGTGCCCTTCTTCTGATCATCTGTACCATCTTCTTTCTGACAAGATTTGTGGAGCTCCTTCAAAATCTGCAGTTCTAAGAAATTAGAAGCATCTCACATTTGTGTACGAAAAAATATATTCTGCGAACATATATCTCGAACTGAAAAGCATTGAGATAAGCGACTGACATTTATTATCAGATAAAATAGGACATATGAAGATATTGTGGAGAAATCAACTGGCAGCGAACTTACCTTATTCATTCGACCATATTCACCCATATCAAACCACAATTTACACAACTTCAAGTTTGTCTTGAACCATAACCTCTGCAATAAAAACGAAAAAATAAAAAATAAAAAAATAAAAAAATAGAAATCAACAAAACATTTATGAGCAGGTACAGGGTTCCAAAGTTTAAATCCTTTAAAAACCAAAATTTTACAAGGTCCGGCATTAATTGCAACCAGTAAAGTGCTGTGTTATCTCCATCCCCAAAACTAATCACTCTTTAAAAGTATGGTGTATAGGAACAAATCTCACCTGAAGGCAGACTAACCTCATCTTTAGGGCAAGATAACACAATCAAGAAATATAGCCCATGTAAGGAAACATGCTATCCTCTACTTGCTTGCAAAAGGAATGCACTGACAATTATACGTAGAATATAAGCATAGAAACGATGCGGCCTATGCAATGTTGGTAACTTAATTTCTACCTAGTACATAGAACACACAGATTGCAGTTATGAAAGAGTTATGCAGTGACGGCATATTAACCTCATTTTTGGCTTCCTCCAAAGCCTTCAAGGTAGTCTGGTAAAACTCCTGGAGCAACTCCAAATTCTGATTGGCACCATTCGACACAAAGTCGAGGATGTTGTTGATACATTTCTCGCTGTAATTACGTGTAACAGCCGACTTGATGTAGGTCAACATCTCTCTGTAAGCATCCATCATTTGCTTGTAATTTCCAATTCGATAGTGAAGCTTCACTGTTTGCTTCAGCGCCTTAAAACCCCTGAGAACACATTAAACGCTTAGCTTTGCCACTAAAATCTGTTACAGGAAATAATTGTAGCAACACACTTATCGATGCCAAGAAACAACTGTCCTCATAAGCTCAGTAAGACCACTTGGAACATCAGTAATGCCTTCTGAAAGTAAAAACTGACAATTTGGCATCAACATATCAAAACTACTAGATTTCCATTAAATATCCACATACCTAGGTGAGAGTTCCCTTGTCATCCTGAGAAAGCTTTTTAGCAAATTAGTTCACAAAGAGACAGAAGTTACAGCTTACCACTCCCCCTTCTCTCCTTCCATCCTCACAACCTCCGCAAATCCCTTAATTGCTCCTTCAGGATCAGCTTCTACCAATCCTGCATCATTTGCAGCATAAATAAGCATTCATGAGACGATTTCAGCATGACAACTCACAATGATCACGTAGATTTTCAAATTGAAACGTAGATCATAGCAGACCGGAATCGAGGGCGGTGTCAAGAAATCTTCTGTGAAACAGAAGCTTCGTGTCAGCACATACCTTTGGTATTATAATACTGATTCTCAATATCGACATCTTGCTCTTCAGGCTCCTCGTCAGAATACTCAAACCCATAATCTTCCATGTCTGCATCTGTGATCAGGTCAGCCAAAAGATAACGGTTAACTAATGCATACATTCACTCTACATATATATCGTTCCTCATCGTAAAGAGCCAGACTCAAGTATAATATGTTCACCAGGAGACTTCTTCTCAATTAAACTGTTCTAGCTGGATTATCATAGGTGTTGGAATAGAGCACTGTAAGAAAGCTCACAGAGCACAATTCCTATAATTCAGAAAAGTTGCGAAAGGCTTTCCACATTGTTTGCAATCCACCAAACGTTGAAAGCAACATACACAAAAGAACATGTAACAAAGAAGCTGAATGAAAGAAAACCATTCTTAGCGTTACTAAGTTGATCAAGTCAAGGCCAACAAGAGAGCAAAGGAACATCCATCAGTATTAGTTTACCCAACACTTCACCAGAGACTTGTGAAGTAAAGGAAAAATCTGCTGAAGAGTCCGCAACTCCAACAACCCCAGCATAATTATTCATTTCTTAAAACAAGATTAATGGGAAGGCAGTTCGACTCGGAGCCATACAAGAAAAATAATTTCACACCTTCAACTTTTGGAAAAGGCTTCAAGAGGAACTGTAAATCATGGACATATTCTGAACTGTCGATTCCACATAGGATTCATTGAAAAGAAAACCCCATAGAAACAATAGACATTGAACTTCGCATAAAAACCATCGGTATCATCACCTGCTGATTTCTGGCATATCATTGCACCAGTTCTCAACCAACCTATTGATACTTCAATTTCATCCGAACGATGAAACCACGAAATCACGTTCTAGCTCAGACAAACATCGCTGACAGCCGATCTAATACATGCAGCATATCACATCGAGAGACGGGGCGTCTGCTGCTAGATTCAGTCGACGATAATCTCTAATTAATTGGATCTTTATTCACAACCAAAAGGAATTATTCAGCGGGATTAATTCGCAGATACGGTGCATCATTAGACGTCAAAAAAACCCTAAATTCCAAAAATTCATCAAATTATGCAAGTTGAAATCCTCGTTGAATCAACCTCGAGTTCCCAAATACAGAAAATTCCATGAACATTTCACAAATAAACGATAAATCTAAAATTCTTCAATCTCAAGAGATCAAAACATCAACTACGCATTAGTTGCAAGGAGCTCTCGAACACAAACAGAAACAGCCAAACTTGAGCTTGAAATGAATGGAAAAACTGAATCGAAATTCCTATGGCACGACGCAAAACCTGAATCCATGTCTGGGGGGTGGCGAATTCGAGCTCGGCTTCCGCTGTGATCGCGTGTAGAAAGTGAGAAATCACGCGATGAGATTGAAGCGAGAGAGAGACTGTCCCCCCTCTTCGACGCTCTTTCTCTCCTCACTCCGCCAGGCAGTTCTCAGTGCCATCTGGGCCCTTGAAGACCAAGAGGCCCAGATTTCGAGAGTACGGAAATTGAGGCCAGGAACTGGGCGGGCTTTACGGCGGGTATATGCCTCGTGTTTCCCGACCGGTTCTCTGACGCAGATCAGGGCCAGTTAGACGGTGATAGAGGGGGCACGGTTTAGCACGCTTTAGAATCCTGCGCACCGGTCTTGGATTCGATTCTCATCGCCGGCGCCTCCTTGTTGACTCCCTCGAATGGGCACTTTTCTTATGCCCAATTCTGTTAATTCTGTTAACAATTGTGTGAAGGATTTATTTTCCTTACATGATGGTGTTACACTAAATAAATCTTTTTCTATTTTTGTGTGGGGTTTTCTATTTATATCTTTGAAGTAAAATATTGCACAATAAAGGATGTGTATTTAATGAAAAATTATTGTTAGATGAGGTTGAAGACTAAGTTGCTGAATAATATAATTAACATTTAATACTATCAAAATAATTAACAAAAAATCTTTGTGGGGGTTCTAAGATTGTTCTGATTCTAAATTAAAAAGTGGTTTATTTCATGATTTTGGTTTCATGTTAAGTTAATGTTACTAAAATGAGATATTTAAAAACATTAGTGGTGGAAGCAGAATGATGAAGTGCAATTAGATAAAAGAAATATATCACAAAAACATATCATAAATAAATAGTAGCTATAGATGTTTATAAGGATGACTTCGAGGATTTTTGATCTAGCATCTGTATCACATAATAATAAATTAAAATAAAAAAAAACTTACATTCAAATTTACTAATGGATTTACAATTTACTATTGTTAAAAAAAAATTAAAATTTGAAAATTGCAATGTATGTTTCTTAAGGACAGATGTTTTTACTCCTTTTTATGCTAAAAACGCTTTCTCAAAACAAGATTTAAAAATTCTTTATTATTCGTTGATTGTTTGAATCAAAATTTGATATAAACTCTTGGAAAATTCCAAATACCTTGATTTCAGACCAAACCCAAGTTAGTAAGCTACATTCAAGGTCCTTGAAATTTATGTTTGTAATCATATTTTGCAAACTTCAGATGTATTTTATATAATTAATTGAAAAGGATGACATACAGTAGGACAAGTAGAATGAAATCCTTTTTAATATAATTTATCCAATATCTTGTAACTATTTACTTTTTGGATAAAGGAGTAAGTAATGTAAGTTTATAAAAAATATATAATTTAAAAAAAACTAATCATCTAATTAGAAATTAATAAATACAATTTTAACTTGGTTTTTAGAATTATCAAGGAAATTTATCCACTATTTTAAAGTTCACTTAACATACTATAATCATTATTTCCTTTTTAATCCACCATAGTCATAGTTATGATTTAAAAAATAAGTGCACTTTAACTTGATTTTTTGGAATTACCAAGGAATTGTTTAATCTAACACATGCATTGCATGATGAAAAGAAATATTTATCAATACCTTCTTAGGTGAGTCATAACATAGTTTAAAACTAACTTTGGATATCTTGATATGTTTTTAAGAGTTTAGCAACAAAATTTTACGGTGTGTTTTAATACAATTTTTTAAAAATTCATTTAAGGGTATTGTAGATGATTATGGTTCTTCAATTTATTATAAATTTTTATGAAAATGTACTTTTCACTTATAAATGTCATAAATTTAAGACATTACAAATCTACTTAGTGAAATACAAATTATATTCACACATTTTTTTTTTATGACCAAATTTCTTAAATTTTTTATTTTTTATTTTTATATTATTTTTTTGTTGATAATGGATTATTTTTTATTTTATTATTTTTTTGAATTTTTTTTAATATCACTTTAAATTTTTTTTCATTACAAGAGCATTTCTAAAAGTTCAAAAAAATATATCTATAACATATATATGTACATAATTAAACTCATTGCTAAATTTTAATTTGCAATAACATAAAATTATTTAATTTATATTTTAATTTATAATAATATATTAATTTTGAATTATAATTAAATTTTAAATATATAATATGAATTAGTCCAAGTAATAATTAATTAAAATAAAATGCTATAATATATTTGATGATTACTTTAAAGATATATGCGACTTTAAATGTAATATAAAAAATATTATTTATAATTCTATATATATATATATATATTTTACTTGCATTTTGTTAAGGTATTGCTAATACTACCATAGTTTTTGCTATTGCCACCACAACCTCCATCCACCACATGTCACCTTTATTCAATACCTTTTAAACCAATAATATTTTCTTTGTTCATTACCTTTCAAACCATTTGATTGAACATAATTTTTGATTGCAACTAAAAAAACTCATGAAATATGTTGAATAGGTGGCAAGTTGTTGTGGCAATAGCAAAAATTGTGGTAGCATTTGCAATACAATTTTTTTTATATTTGATTTAAATTATCATTATTATTATTATTATTATTATTATTATTTTGATTTTTATCTTTTTAATCATATATGTTTATATTAATTAAATTTTACAATCAATAATCTCTATTTATAATTACCACATATAAAAAAAAGAAAAAAAATTACATAATATTTTGCATTAAAATATCTAAAACAATTCTAGGCTTTATTTATTTATTTATTTATTTATTATAAATTAATGCATAAATAAATATTATATAATATTTTTTTATACATTTGAAGTGCTAAATTACAGAATAAAATTTATTTTAAAATAAAATATTATAAATTTAGCAAAATACTTGAGATGAATATAGACGTTAAATGTTTTGCTATAAGTAGTGCACTAATACACAACCAGAAGAATTTTTTCTAAAACCGTAAAATTATTAATTTTTAATTATTTTCTTTTTGAGTAGAAGTAAATTAGTTAAAGCGTTTAATAAAAAATAGAAACATTACTTTGAAAATCATAATATACAAGTTTTTATAAAAGAAGGCATGTTTGACTTGTTTTGAGCTAAAACAGAAATTTAAGTACTAGAGGAAAATATGTGGAATGTAATAAAATTTATTAAAAATAAAAACTGATAAATCAGTTAATGTTATTGATTTGTTAGCTTCACAAGAAAAAAAGGAAAAAAAAAAGAAAAAAAAAGAAAAAAAAAGAAAAAAACCACAATAAAATACATTGTCTAATTCTTGGAATTAAGATGTTAGGACAAAGATTTGTAATAGAAAAATAATGATAATGATAATAATAATAATTATAAAATATAAATAAAATAATAGTTTTAAATTAAAAAATTCCAATAAATTATTTTAGTAAAATATCTCTTTATTAAAAAAAATAAATTACTATATTGAATGAAACATTAAGATTATTAATATTAAACAAAAAAAGGTATAATTATCAAAACAATTAGAAGAGAACAACTAACAATAGTCTTTATTTAGAAGAGGTATCACTAGTTGGCTATAAAAAACTAAAAAATAACAATATTTTGTGTTAATTATTAATACATTTTTTTTATTACAAATAATTTATATTATTACATTCTTTATATATGACTCTAAGTCTGTGGCATATAATAATTAAAATTTAAATACATTATAAATAAACATAGTTATACCTTCTTAACAGTAAAATAGTTATATAATAGACATATATTTCTTTAATTTTTTTTCATATATTTTAATTTCATTTCTAGTTAAGTTTTTTTAAAAAAAAATTAAATTAATTTATTTATTTATTTCTTTTGCAAAATTATTAAATCTTTTGATTTTTTCATTACTTGAATAGAAGACAAGGGGCCGGTTCTGCAAAGTTGGCAAGAGAACTTCAAACAAAAAATATTGTTCCATGGATACCTTATATATTATTAAAAGCAAATCTCAATTTTTTTATAATTCTAGTAGTTACCATCAAAAGATATCATTTGAGTAAGAGACCCTTGGCTTCCCATTAGGCAAAGTGGGCCTCTTCATCTCCCTTCTTTGCAGCCTCCTAACTTAATGTATCTTTTGATACGTTCAAATTTTGGTTACTCGTGTTCATTCTATTGCTACTGAACCTCATTCTTATCAAACATATGCGAAACAATTGCATACTAGATTTTCCAACAATGAAAGAAGCAAATATAAAAATGGGGAATGTTAAACACACCCAGGCTTTTATAAAATTGACCCACCCATGATGAAGAATATAGTGATCATGATGAACTTGGTTTTTATTTGTTGCAGATCCAGTAGTGAATATAAAACGTCATTTATTTTTATTTCTTTTTCATTATGGTTATGATTTGCACATCAGTGGGTTGATTTTGTAAAAACCTGGGTTTATTTAACATTCCCCTTAATATACATATAATTATTCTTGTAGCATTTTACAATGGGCCTTTGTCACGTTACCTAAAAATGTCAAATTTGTTTGATTGTTTGTTTGTTTTTGTTATTAATTTTTCGATATATATGTGAGACCCTTCGTCTTCATATTGTGAAAGAAGACAAACGTGGGCAAGTTCTGCCATCATGATACAGAACTCAGTCGATTGGGTGGGGAAGGGACGGAGTCTGTGAGGAGCCAGCTACCATGATAATAACAACGCACAAGGCCCAGCCCTGCCGCTGCTGCTGCTGCTGCTGCTGCGAGGTTGCTCTGCAATGGCCATCAATGCATCCCACACCCACTCACAAAACAAAACAGACGCACACAATCTCAGGGCACTGCCTCATCAGCGATAATTCTGGGCACAGAAATCCACAACAGAACCAAAGCAGCAGCAGAAGCAGAATCACTCCACTGATGTGCAAATCATACAATTGCTCACAAAAAGTGTACATCACACAACATGCAGGTGCTCAGTCCGCTGGTAGAGCTTGCAAGATGGAGCATACTCTTTAGATGGGTAATACTCAAACAGATGCTGGAACAGAATACAAACAGTTTATTTTTATTTTTTAAATCTTTTATCTTCCCCTTAGTGGGACAAATGCGAAGTTAACTTACTGCTACTGAAGATGTACTAGAAGAATTTGACCTAATAAAGGCACATGCACAATTAGCGTTGCGGTCATAGCGATCAGACAGCAAGGAGACTTGGTGTGGCGTTGATAAAGGCAGCGCGCGGCCGCGGCAGTGCGGCGAAGAATTTGATGAGTCAGTGGATTGCCATGTTGCTGACTGTTGGCTAACTTCACTCCCAACTCACGCTGTGCAGATTCGGTGCAACGTGAGGAATTGGGGGAGGGAGGAAGTGGGGAGAGTTCCAGATGCTCGAAGCATGGCAGAGTTAGAGCGAGGGGTGGAGTAATTATGGAGCGGTAGTGTGAAACTTCGACGACTGTGGGTGATGACAGAAGATGAAAGCTACGGTGACTAGGCATTTCGTGCCAACAATGCGGTAGATTCATACTCTGCTGGGCATGCACTTTGCCGGCTTTACCTGCCCGCAGCAGCCACAGGTGCTACTCAGGTTCAGGTGCGAGAGAGAGAGAGAGAGAGAGAGAGAGAGCGGGCCATTGAGCGTCTCTTGTACTTGTTTGATCGTCGTATCGATGATTCTGAATCAGGCAATGGTGCTCAGTCGCAAGTGAGGAGAGTCCACCATAGCCAGTGCCTTCACTACTCGTTCCCTGCTCGTGTGGTTCTCAGCTGTACACTTATTCCGGTACCGCCCGCTTGGCCCACAACCTGGCTTGTCGAGTGCAGAATCATCTCCGATGCTGGTTCATGCTTCCGAAGTGGGCGTGGAGGAGCTGCAGATGTTTGTTGTTTCGCCGTGTAGGGTCAAAGTAGTGTAAGCTAGCTAGTTTCCACGCTAGGGACATGAGAGCTGATCGAGAATGAATTGAATGGCGAGTTAGAAGCTGAGTACAGGTACGAGGACAGGATAGCAAGGTGACCTAAACCTGGAGTTGCATTGTGGTCTGCGGAAGGAGGGGATTTTGTGAGGAGAGGAAATATTGTGATGCTGATGTGCTTGGTGTAAGCTATGTTGATCGACGAGCTTCTCGACTGACCAAGTGTTCCCTGGACGATTTTGGAGTGACAGTACTCTGGTTCTGTGGAGGTGAAAACTGGCTTGGTGGTGAGCATGTGCTGAGGTTCGGTTAAGGGGTGTGTGTCGGCAGCTGGGGAGAGGGAGGTATGGGAGTTATGGCGAAGGTGGAGACTTCCCTCAAAGGTGGTAAACACCGTGATATCCCGGAGAACAGCAGTGGCCTTGGAGGGTGCACCAAAATGAGCCTGGTCATCGTGGTGGCATGTTTGTGTTCGTGCATATATGCCTTGTCACTGGCTTCTATCAGCTCGAAACCTTGTTGGAGCAGCCTGAAATCATGTGAGAGTCGTGTCTGTGAAGGTGGGAATGTGTCAACCTGGCGTGGTATCGGCGGCAGGAGCTCACGAACTTTGCAGAGTCAGTCCGTTGCTGTAGTCAAGTCGCCGGCCATGAGTAAGAGAGAAGCTTTAACTTCCCCGCCACAGTCACGGATTCCTCCTGTGGCGCCTGCGACGCATGTGCGTTTGAAGCGGAGGAACACGAGCTTGTCCCACATTGTGTTTGGGATCGCAGCGTCTGCCAACCTGTGGAAATCTCGCAAGCATTATGTGAAGGAATGGTGGAAGCCTGGCAAAATGCGAGGCTATGTCTGGTTGGAGGAGCCCGTAAAGAACGAGACTGGGTGGGGAGTGGATGTGCCCCTGGCCCAAATCTCGGCCAATACCTCTCAGTTCAAGTACACGCACAAGGTGGGCAGCCGCTCCGCAATTCGCCTGGCACGCATTGTCACCGAGATGTACAGATTCAAGCTCCCGAAAGTAGACTGGTTTGTCATGGGCGACGACGACACCATTTTCTTCACTGACAACCTTGTTAGGATGCTGTCGAAGTACGATCCCACCAAGATGTACTACATTGGAAGCCAATCCGAGAGCCATTGGCAGAACACGGAATTCTCGTATGGCATGGCGTACGGGGGAGGGGGGTTCGCTATCAGCTTTCCTCTTGCCAAAGCTTTATCCAGAATGCAGGATGACTGCTTGCACAGGTACTAGTGGACCGAATGCTTGATTGAGAAGTTTTGTGGGTAGGATTTATCCTTATTTTCACAACACTCAAACTTAATATCTGGTGCAATCAGACGAAGAATCAACGAAATTCTCAGCTCTAGAAGCGTCCTTGAAGAGATTTGAGAAGTTCATTACGAGCTCACAGAAACAATTTGCACAGAGCAAACTGACAACTAGGGGATTGTTTGTTTACTAGTGGATCAAGCTTTGGCCAGGCAATTGGGTAGAGTCTCAGGCCGAAGTGCATTGCTGAACAGGACAGAATAATCAAACAAATGTATGCTGTTTTGATCGTGGTTCTTTGGTGATCAGATATCCGCAGTTGTTCGGGAGCGATGACCGGATGCACGCCTGCATTACAGAGCTTGGAGTACCCATCATCAAGAATCGGGGGTTTCATCAGGTATTCAACAATCTTAGCGCTACAATGTAAAAAATTAAAACGAGAACTAGATTTAGTTCTTCACCCTGCTCTTACTCATTTTAATACTGATCAGTGCATGTTTGTTGGATCTGGTAGTTTGACATTTTCGGAGATCCACTAGGGCTGATGGCTGCGCATCCGCTGACACCGTTGCTGTCGATCCACCACTTGGACGTAATAGCTCCAATCTTCCCCAACATGACCAAGCTTGGAGCAGTACAACGTCTAATGAAGGCAGCCAAAGTCGAGCAGGCCAGCATGCTTCAACAGACAATCGTCTACGGGCGCCACCGCAAGTATTCGTTCTCCATCTCCGCAGGCTTCGTGGTGCGTGCTTACAATGGCTTTGTACCGCCATTGGAGCTGGAAGAGGTACCCAGGACTTTCCGTTCATGGTACGGCGACACGGCCAGGTCCCATTTCCCCTTCAACACCCGAGAATTTCCCACCGACATATGCAAACAACCGACTCTGTTTTACGTTCACAATCGAACATCCAAACGAACCTCCGAAGAGTTGATCGAGACCATTTACATGAAGGAGAACCTTCCAGCACGCAATTCAACTGCTTGTGACACAAAACTGAACCAAGTGCAAAAAATCCTTGTTCGGAGCCAGCGTCTTAACTACGCATGGTTTGAGGTTGCCTTACCCCCTAAACCCTAAACCTTGTTGTGGCCAAACTGAAACTTTTTGCTGCAGTTTGCATCCAGTGACATAATTTGGCAAGTCGGTCTCAAATTGGGGTGTTGGGTGCAGTCGAGGAGTCTCTGCGGGAAGGTGGCGTCATGGCGGAATGGCACGATCGACATCCTCGTGAAGCCTTGCGAGGAAGATGAGCTGATCATCGGAAACTGAAACAGCTGTACTTATACCTTCAACTATTCTTTCTAGAAATAACGATGCACTGAATGCATGACGTGGCCAGGTTAAAATTAGGTCAGCCGTCGGCGCGATTGTAGAGCTCAGGAAATCAACACAATCTTCTCCAGCTGCTGTTCCGAGGCGGTGGTGAAGATGTGATCCTTGTTAGGAATCAGCACCTTTTGCATCAACCTGCAGGAGGATCAAATGATCCCCTGTAATGTCCTCCAATTTGTTCACCGACCCAGTGGTTGGAAAATCTTATCAAGTTCGCTTTTAATTCACTGATGATCTCGCCTTCCTCACCAGTTTGTGAGTTTGTGTGCGTTTGCGGCGCCATGAAACCAAGATTGTTGCTCTTCTAGATTTTCTGCGCAGTCTCCGCATCCCCAAGTCCTCGCATCTCGTCGTGCTTTGTGCTCAGATCCTGATGTTGCATTGTGGTTTGTATCATAATTCTTTCACATGCACATTAATCTTAACGTTTTCTTGTGCACATTGTGATGTGATGTTGCATTTTGTGGTTAGAATTAGAATTCTTTGTGGTGTGCAAGTAGTGGTGCTGCATTGTTGTTAGAATTGGGATTCTTTCTTCTGCATAACTTTATTAGTGCAATGACCAGATGGTGGAGTAGGGAAAATAGATATAGGAGAATTTGGGATTATTAATAAGAATCAATTCAATTATGGCAGATTTGGACTATCTCAATAGGTTTAGAAAATGCAATTGTAGATGATATATAAAGATAATAAAAAATATTTTATACACAGTGGAAGATATTTTTCTTCATCTTTTGTTTTGTTTTGATTTGTTTTTTGAAAAAGTTTTGTATGTGAAATGCACAATTTATTTTGTTTGATTTTATATTTTTAGTGTTTTTTGGTAAAGAATATTCTTTAACTTCTTCCATTCTACTACTAGTCATTTTGTATTTATAATTGATAGCATCATTAATGGATTATTAATGTAGGTTTGGTGAAGTAGTTACACTTCTTGTGCTTTTAATGTCATGTGTATGTATTAAAAGGTGTAAATTGACAATATAGGCTATACTCTATGCTTGAGTTGAACTGGAGTTTCAACATCTATCAAGAATTTTTATTGAGAATGTTTTAAATCTTTGTTAACATTAAAGTATAAAAATAAAAAACTAATAAATAAAAATTTAATAATAAATAAAATATACATATTTTAGTAAAAACATGAGTTGATATAAGATGTTATAATGGAGCTAGCAAAGTAGATTTTAGAAAATTTCTTCTAAAATTGCTACTTATGTTAGAGAATCTTGTTTTTTTAATAGTAATGATTATTTTGTACACTACAATACAAGAATGTTTTTTGATATAGCTTTAGAGCTAGATACAATCTAAAAATAAAATAGATAATATAATTTCTTCTTCTTCTATATATATATATATATATATATATATATAAATAAATCTTTTAAAATAATTGCTATGTGGAAATTTAACCATTTAAAAAATTCCTCATTTTATAGTTTTATTTTGTAAATTTTTATCAAAAAATATAAATAGGTATAAAAATTAATTTAAAACATATTAATAAGTAAATATTTAATTATTTATATATTTCATACATATAATTAAAATAAAAATTTAAAGATAAAATATTAATCTCAATATTCAATAATATACATATATTATAATGCTTTTATTATAAAAATTAAATATTAGAATTAATAAAATAAAATAGAAATAAAATTCCTCTATATGTATATATTAGAGAATGTAAATTTGAGACATTAATATATAAATATACAAATAGATCACAATCTAAGCATTTTAAAAATCCATCTGTTTAATAATTTTTTTCTTCTAAAATAGTTAAAATTACTTTTTTAAAATTTTGAATTAATAAAAATATTAAATATTAAAATTATTAATTATTTTTCTTTTATTAAGCTAATCTATTAAGTTCAATTTTATTATAAAATATGGTCACTTTTATGAAGATATTTCATGATATATAGTTCCAAACTCTTATTTCAAGAGAATAATTATAATATAGTCTATCATTTAAAGATAACAATGATATATTTTTCTAATTGTATGTTTTTCTCTTTTTATTTTTTTGTACACAATTCTATGCTATTTACTTTAATAATGCGGTAATAATTTATTATTGTATACAATAATAATTTTGAAATTGAATCATGTCATGAAATATAATTTATTTGAACTTGTAGTGTAAAATTCATCATCAAAAATTAAAATAATGCTATGTGAAATTCTAAGATGTCTCTAATACTTTATTTTATTTTATTTTATTTTTCTTATTAAAAAAAGAAAAGAAAAGAACAAAGATTCTTAAAGGTTCTTTTTAATTTATTTTTTTTTAATTTTTTAATTTTTTTTAAATTCCTAAGTCTATGACCAAAAGATATGGCTTAGAAAGTAAGTGTATATATATATATATATATATATATATATATATATATATATATAATTTTTAGGAGATGTTTTTTTTGATAAAATGATAGAAAAGGGATATTTGTGTAGAAAAAATGGTAGTAGGTATTTTTTGTTGCAATTTCTTTGAGAAGTGTATTTTCTATTTTATTATTGTTTATGTTTATGTGTGCTCTTACTTTCTATATCAATAAAGTTTGAGTTCTTTGTTATAGCATAGAAATTGTTTTGGAGAATAGTATTTTGTTTAGATAATATTTTTGTGATGTTTGATGTTTGATTTGAGTATAGATGAGTTATATAGAGCTTATGAAGTTTGTAAATATGTCTACTAATTCAACTTGATAATCCCTTATACTAAATTAAATCATTGCATAAAGTGCCATTAGTTTTGGTCCTAAGATAGTCTTAGAAGGCATTTTCAGATTTGAGGATCTTTTACTAAGTTGTAGATTCTATACAAAGTAAATTCTTCTTTTCAAATGTTTTTACTAATTATTTTTGGAAGATAGAATGATCCATTAAATAGTAGTTATATCTTAATAATAACTTTGAAGGAAGTATTTTGTTATAATTTACTAGAAGACAAGATAGAATGTTAATATTATTTAAAGAGTAATTGGAGATAAGAAGCATAAATGGATTATATTGAAGATATTTATAATTGAATCAAGTAATAATAGTATTAAAAAGTGATGTGAAAATTTAAATAAAATAGTTCTAAAAATTTTATATTTATGTCTTTTATAGAACTATACAATTTTTATTTAAGATTTTTAAAGTGAATGTTCAAAAATCAATAGATTTGGAATTTCTTTATGGTATTGATTCTACACCTATTTTAATCTACAAATTAAAATAATAATAATATATTATCAAATATTTTTTTTATATATATGGACTTTATCTTCTTGTATTGTAATAGTTTCATTATTGATGTTTATATCTTCTATAGACTTATATTCATGGATAAATATGTGGACAAGTGATATTTGTATGGATGGAATTATATATCATGTGTCTTTGATTTGTGGAAGTTTGAAGAATTTTCTTATTATTTTGGTATAGTGGTTATATTGCCTTTGTATGTAGTAAATCAAAGTATTATTATATTATGTTATAGGATATTTGGATATTAGATTTTAAAAATAATATTTTAGATTTTTTGTGATAAAAAATAGTTTCTATTTAAGTTTATATATTTGTATAAATATAATTTTTATCCTTTCTTGATTCTAAAGGTATCTTTATACTTATAATATTAATAATCTAGTATTAAATATATTAAAATATTTTTGATTTGGTGCCAAACTTGTGGTATGGGTTTAGGTGGTATTGAGGGATTTGAAAGATTTGAAGGTTCTATGTATAAAAAATAGCCATATTCATTAGTATATTTAATTAAATTAAATAAAAAATAAAAGTAAGTAAAAATAGAGCTAAATTATAGATATCTTATTGAGAAGCTTCTTAAAAGATGTAGTCTTTAGATGTGTTTATAAATGGTTGATAAATTAATAACTTAGCCTATAAATTGGCCACATATTTCATATTTAGCCACTTGTATTAAAATTTGGCTATAAAGTGCATATATAAAAAAAATTACTAAAATTTAGACATATGTATTATAAGTTGGATACATATCATATAGCCTATAAGATATTGTTATGTAGTTATTTAATACATATTAGATATGAAGACAAGAATGAGGTCTTTCTTGTACTTTATCTTTGTTCAAGACTTCTTAGTCATATTGCATTTGGTAATGGCCTTTTTAATTTCCATTCTATACTTTTTTTTTAGTTTTTTAATTCTTTTTTAATATAAGAATATGCTATCATATTTATAATTTATTTTTGGTTCATGACTTTATCAATATGTGTAGTGGTAGAAATATTGACATTATTATATAGACATATAAAATAATTTTTTGTATTAGTATATTTGTTGGTTGATGGTTACAACATGATTGACTATAATTTATTATACAAAGTAATTTTGAAATAACTTTTAATATTCTTTTTAATAATTATATTTATTTTCTATAATAAATTTTAAAATAAATTAGATCTATTAGTTGTATACTTTATGATAGTATTAATTGATTTAAATATATAATTTGATATAATAATAATTTTTTAAGATCTTTAATAAGAGTTTGAATATATTTTAGAAAAATCTAATTTTTATGAGTAATAGTTTTTTTTAGTAGTGTGGCTTTTAGAAAGAAGTTTTTTATGTTAATATAGAGATGAGTGAAAAGAAGATACAAGTAATTGGTGATTTAATACATGTTTATTTTGTAATATAAAATTTATGATATTTTAATCTATTTTTAGTAATTATATAACTAATGAAACCTAAGTACATGATTTGAAGTCTATAAGGATTATTTAGAACATCTTAATTTTTTTTAAATCTATTATATTTGCTATAGTTTCTATATTAAATTTAAAAAAATCATAATTTTTTATCTACTATTTTATAACAAGCTCACAAAATTTTAAAAAATTATACTTAAAAATTAGGAAGAAAAGCTCTCAATTAGTTAGGATGTTGGCTATCATCTTTCTTCAATCTTAATATCAATCTTCTAGTATTAATAGCTCTTTTTTACATAATTTATTTATTATTTATTTATTTATTTATTATTTTTTTAAATATTAAAAACTAAATCAACTATTAGCTTACAACAAAATCATTTCAATCAAACTAGCATATTGCTTAAAATCATAGAAACATTCATTTATCTTCAAAATTTAATTTTCAAGACTCTAATCCACTTGAATTTTAACAATTTTTAGTTTAAAATTTTAATTCACTTCAAATTTATACATCTATTAAGACTATTTTTAC